TTACATGCATCCCCCCCCCCCCCCCCAGCATTTTGGATACATAGCAGTTTGCTCACATTTCCAATCAGTTGCAATGTCCCATGGTCAGGTGACCACATATGCAATATTGTTTTGCCAGTTTGAGGCAAAAAACACCCATTTGGAAGAATGGATTTGTTTAATGACCACATGATTCATTTAACAATGTGGTTCACTAAATAATTTTATGGCCACAGTGGCCAATGGCCAATCATTTTATGACTACTCCTTTAAGACTGAAGTTGAAAATTGGTCATAAAATTGCTTCCAGTCATGTGATGCCTTGACTTACAACTACAATGACTTACAACTGAAATTCCAGGTTCCATTGTGATCATAAATCAAGGATTATCTATAATAGGAATAGACTTCAAAAGCAAACACTCTAGAACTTGGATGTTTCTCATTTTGTAAGTGCTTTGGTGATGACATAATACAACAAATGAATACTAACAAAGGAACATGATTTTGCTTGGACATACTGGTCTGCATTATAACCGGAAGAAGTTTTTCTTTTGATTGCCACCTTCTTCCCTCTATAAGGAAGGAGGATCATTAGCCCCTCTGCAGCAATGAGGAATGGCGTTCCTCACTCCTACTGCAATATGAGGATTAGTCTTAAAACAAGAACAATATAGCAGCAGATCTTCCCAATGCTATTTTTTTCCTGTGTAGGAGAAAGATGAAGAAGAGGTCAACATCTCCCAAGAATCTTCGGAAGAGGAACAATGAGAATAAGCCAACCGATTCTACCTCACAGCTCAGTTTTCCTGTTTCTTGTCAAGTTCTGGGACTGAGGAAAGAGCGAAGAATCCTCACCCTTTTCCTGACCTGATCTCTCCAATGTTCTCACAGTTAAAACAGCAACACTAGGGCACAGTGTAAACAGATCAACCATCATATTTGATGTGTAATGTTTAATGGGAGAACTTTATATTTTGTTTTCCCCTCTCAATTGGTAGTTTAGCCTACCAATTCATGTAGTTCTGTATTATATCTGTTTTTTGATCTATTTCTCCAGAACACTCCTTATCGAGAAAGGGGTTTATAAATCTTTATAGTGACCACTTATTCATGTTGAAAAGAGTGGACAGCTTAGTCCTTCCTTATCAATCCTAATTTCCACTTCAGAGAGACCATAATACTCTCCAAAAGGATAACTTGGCACTGGCAGAAAGTTTGCCGAGGAGGAAGATTTGAGAGCATTGGGATGATTTTATTTTTTGGGGGGGAAATGAGTATAATGGGATAAAGGCCACAACATTAAAAGGATGGATACATTATTTTTTCCTACTGTAAGGTATTTGCAAGAATAATTGAGAGGAAGTTATCCTTTTCATCCAATTTCCAGTAGTTCAAGAATAATTTAGTGCTTTGCAATGTGTCTGTGTATTCTTTTGACAACATACTGCCCTGCCCCAATCAGCTGCCTTAAGTCCAGAGCAGTTACAATTACATAGGCTGAGGTGTTTGGGGTGAATCTAACCTAAATTCTCATCTTTTCCCCAGTAACCAGAGATCCTTTCTTCTCCCCTCCCCCCTATTTTTCCATCTCCATCTGCCCCAGCTGCCAGTACACAAATGGAGCGTACAACTGAATTTTTTTCACTTGGTGCTCAGTCATTCTGCACAGAAATATATTGAACAAGTCTTTGCCATGACCAAGGAAAGCAGTATGGCAAAATTCTCTCCCTTCGTGGTCTCTTTCGGTTTTTGTGATTTTTCGCCTTTGGAAATAGCAGTTAGCAGTTGACAGTTGTCTTTCCAATATATATATTGTCTGTCAAGGTTTTCTTTCTTCATTCACAACTACCTCTGGATACGTTTTGAGTTTCATCCTCTTAAAACATTGCTGCTGTTTGTTGCTGCTGTACTGATTACAAAGTTTTATTTCAACAGGTTCTGTCTGGTTTTTCTCTGGAACTGACATTTTACACTATAGATAATTTCATTTCAGTTGACTTTTAAAACTGTTGTGCTATTAAAAAAAGGGATAAAAGCTCTTATTTGTCAGACTGATGAATGATTGGGGAGAGGGAGTTTCTGTGAAAGTGGGCACTATTTTAAGAGTCAGCTATAATTACTAGGCTCTTACTGTGGAAACCCCAAATCACGAATAACTTCTGAAAGTATAAATATTTCTTTATACTGCTTTTTTCAAAACATCTATTGGGCATTTTTCTATCGGGCATTTTTTTTCTTTTTAAAGCTGTATATTAGCTATACTAAGAATTTCGAGACCTCATGGTAAATACTCCCTAGTTCCAATTTAGCAGAAAGCAAACTGGTCAAAATACTTCTCACCAACTCCTTTTATACCACTCTAGCTTAGCTGTTGTCTTTTCTCTGAAAAGTGAAATCTTCCAAATCAAGCTTGGACCAGTTACCCTTTGTTACTTTACCTTAGAATGCTGATACGGGATCCACAAACATTCCTAGAAATATTTTTGAATTTTTAAAAATGTGAGGTGCCTGGGTAAGGCATCGAAGGAGATACTTACACACACACACAGTGCTCATGGAAACTATATAGCCTACCCTTCTGCCCACTCACGTTTTTTCTGCATAATTTCATAAAACTCAAAAGCAAACAAAACTGAGCTGGTTAATTGAATATCCAGTATATTCTGTAGAAGATAACTGTTCTTCATTCAGTAAAGGGTTGCAATAATTCCTGAACTAGTCATTAAGTTAAAATTATCAGTCTTCAGCATCTGCCCAAAGGATTGACATCTGTTCATCTTCCAAGACCATAATAACTCTGCCTTTTTATACATATACAATAGTGATCCCTCTTGTTTTGAAACTCATCTTTCTAGCCTGGATAGCATAATTTGCATAATGCCTGAACAAATTATTTTCCAGTTAAAGGTTTTTGGCAGTGATTAATTAATAAGATCATAGGAATCTGTATTAATATTGAACCATCTAGCCCAATACTGCCAAATCTGACTGAGATTTCAGCCCATTTTTCCTGCCTCATTTGGATATGCCAAACGTCATGGCTTTTATATCCTTATCTGAATAGAAACAAAAAAAATGGTCTACATTTTAAAGAATTCCTAATAATTGCAAGAATAATCAAATTTAAGGTACTTCTTTTAAAATATACGTAGCCTTTATTCAACAAGAAATAGTACCTGAATCTCCAGATGTTCTTCAATCTGAAACTAGTATTTTGGTATGCCTCTGGGCCAAAACAGACACGATGGCAATAAACTCTGAAGTTAACTGGATGGAACTTTTTAAAAATGAAAGTAGATTCCATCTAGGATCCCAAATTCATGTTTCACAACAATTTTGCCATAATTATACACTGGAGAACACTTTGGTCAGAATGTCACTTTGCATATATTATAAATAGGAAAAGATTACTTTGTTTCTGAATTCCTGTTATCAAATAATGGACCACTAGTACAGCCTATTCTAGTAATTTTTGCATCCAGTGGATGTTTACCAAAAAGGCATTTATTTCCAAAAACAGAACAATTTGCCTCTCAGATGCTGACCTGATGCTCCTGGCACTAGCGGATATCAGCCAATTATATATCTAAATCCAACTAGTGTGCTGCATTTGACTTAATTTTTTTTAGAAAGATCAAAACAGGAACTTCCATTTTGCCCAGCAGAAAATTAACTCCAACCAGAGGACAAATGAATGTAGCAATCTAACACTCAGAATGCCTCAAGCTGAAGATTACTCTTAAATCTATTCTTCATCTGCTGTGGGGATGGAAACACATAATTAATCTGTACTTGAGAAACTTCTGTTTTGAGACAGACATCTAGCAGTGTGGAAGTAAATGCGGTACATAAAGGAAAGAACAAGCATTCAATACATTTAGGAACTAAAATTCATGGCTGGATGTAAATAATGACATTACAGGTTTTTTGCCTGCAGACCCATAACAAAGCAAGGAGTTAATAGCAATATGAGATAAACCAGAGACATACAGATGGGAATATCATAAAACAAATTACAGTGCACAGTGCATATTGATTTCATTGGAAGATGATGCAGGGAATGGCAAAAGAATGGTTTCCTTCATGGTGGCTTCAAACCACCATTAATTCAGCCCGTGTAGCTGCACCACCAGTTTATTAACCATGTGTGTTTAGGAAGAGAAGTGATGGTTGCAATGTGCATTACCATGTGCATTCAGTCTTGTCATGGAAAAATTAACTTTATTTCCAGAACCACAATCATCACATTTCCCCCTTTGCATTAGGAATACATTTTCAACCTCAAAAAGCATCAGATGTGTGCAATATAAGTTGCATCCCAATGTTCTTAAAATGTGTGGAAGCCCCACAATTTTGCTAAAAATCAAAACTTCAGGGAAAAATACATAAAGGTATTAAGACACTTTCTCAAAGTTACCAGTGCAGCTTTCCACTTTAAGTGCATAATCAGTGTCCATTAGCTAAGTTCAGTAAGCAGTGAGTAGCACATTTTTTTAGCAAAGCAGCAATGATATTGCTGCACCAAGATATCAGTCCATCACAGGTATATCAATGGTAACAAGCTGTATTCACAAAGACAGGCATAACAAGTTATAGTACTGTAAAAGCATGATGTTTTACCACAGGTACTCCTAGTCAGGTTCAGTTTTATTTACAAAACAGAGGTGATTTCCCCAATACCAAATACACTGCCTTGTCCTTGTTGAGCTCAAACAAGTCACCAAAGAAAAAAGCTCTCAGAAATAACATGGTCCTTTGTAATAGACATGCTAAGCATCTATACAAACTTCCTAGCCAAACTCCATCCTTCCAGCATGTAGCACACAAAATTCCAAAGCTGGTGTCGTGTACCCATTATCTTGGTTTCAAGAAGTATACCCCCACCCCTCAAGCACAGAGTTGTGCGTTTGGCAATTTTACTCACTTTGCTCACATCTGTTCAGCAACATGTTACAGGAATCCAACAACTTAATACACCCTTATATATGCTTAGGCAATAAAGAGAGAAGGCAGCTAGCAATGTGCTGGGATATCATAGCAGCTGCATTCTGATGCTCTTTGTTCACAAAAGGAAATGGAGATTGACTGCTTTGCTTTTGTTTGTTTTTTAAACAAAGCCGAGCTTTTGAAGATTGATGCCCATAATGCAAGAGCTATTTAGTAATACTTTTACTTGAAATTTCATAAACTCCTGTATCTCATCATCCACATAAAAGGTAAATCAGGAGACAGTTGATACGAAGAATGATGCCATATAGCAAGCTGTCCTAGTTCCAAACACAATTCTCCAACCCCTTAGGCTACTCTTTGTACCAGGTGCTCAGTGCCAATCTCCTTGACATGGCTGGCATCCATTACACCTTCTGTTACTGGAAGTCCCAGCAAGAGGCTGTAGTACTGAAGTGTGAAGAAAGGCAGCAACGTTAATGGCATTCAGGTTGGCACACATGCCAGGTAGAAGAGGTCATCCATCTACATTCTGTGATCAGTCCGAGATGAGTACCATCAAGCCTTCACATCCATAAATGAATTACGATAGGGCTGGTATCCTCCCCAACCTCGCATCATCTGTAATACACAGCACATGTATTTAATATCGCCTTCAGACTTTGAGCAATAGCATCTTTCCAAAGAATGGGCATCTTCCACGGCTTACTAAGAATAATAACTGAGAATAATAACCTGGCAGTTTTCATTACAATTAGAGTACAGGTAGTCCTCAACTTATAGCAGTTCATTTAGTGACCGTTCAAAGTGACAATGTCACTGGAAAAAAATGACTTTATGACCATTTTTCACACTTACGACCTTTGCAGCCTCCCCATGGGCATGTGATTTACATTTGGGTGATTGACAACTGACTCACATTTATGACGGCTGTCGTGTCCCAGAGTCATGTGATCCCCTTTTGCTACCTTCCAACAAACAAAGTCAAGCAACAGGGGAACCAGATTCACTTAACAACTATGTTACTAATTTAAGAACTGTGGTGATTAACAACTATAGGAAGGCAGGTCATAAAATGGAGCAAACTCACTTAACAAACCTCTCACTTAACAACAAAGTTCAGGCTCAATTGTGGTCGTAAGTTGAGGACTACCAAACAAAGCTGCTTGAATGGAAATCCTTCAGTAAAGTTTTAATGGGAAGGAGATGGGTGCTCCCCCTGCTGTGCCAATACTGCATCATTTTGGAAGCCACTTCAGAAAGCAAAAATGGAGACAACCATTCTTTGTGAAAATCATCTGTGAAACAAAGGAGAAAAAAACAGCTCCCATGCACCGTCTGTATGAAACAACTAGGCTTAAGCATGTTTATGCTTCTGTGAGCAATTCACTTCCTCTTTTATTCAGCCATGAAAATGGACAGCCAGGGATCATTTCTGTCAAGACTTGTCATTTCAACACTGTTAACAAATACTGCAGAAATACTAGTTACACATACAGTAATGTAAAAGTAAATCCTTACACATCGCTTAATTTTCTAGCATAGTCCATATAAACATTCTATTTGTCATAGTCTTCAGTCAAATGTCCTAATATTTGGCTTTTTGCTATGCTCATATCTTTCTGTAATCTCGGTAATCCAGCAAGATCTGTAATTTCAACTTTCTAATGTTTGTTAAGACTTAACTCTTCATCCTTCCCTTATATCCCACACATTCCTGAAAGGGGCAGACACAACAAAAAATGTATTTTTCTTCAGAGTAGCCTCCCTATTTCGTTTTTAAAAGGCTGTATCTTGGAAAAATACACTGCTCAAAAAAATAAAGGGAACACAAAAATAAGACATCCTACATCTGAATGAATGAAATATTCTTAATAAATACTTTGTTCATTACATAGTTGAATGTGCTGACAACAAAATCACACAAAAATTATCAATGGAAATCAAATTTAGCAACCCATGGAGGTCTGGATTTGGAGTTATACTCAAAATTAAACACACTACAGGCTGATCCAACTTTGATGTAATGTCCTTAAAACAAGTCAAAATGAGGCTCAGTACTGTGTGGCCTCCACGTGCCTGTATGACCTCCCTACAATGCCTGGGCATGCTCCTGATGAGGTGGCGGATAGTCTCCTGAGGGATCTCCTCCCACAGCTGGACTAAAGCATCCCCCAACTCCTGGACAGTCTGTGGTGCAATGTGGCGTTGGTGGATGGAGCGAGACATGATGTCCCAGATGTGCTCAGTTGGATTCAGGTCTGGGGAATGGGCAGGGCAAGCCATAGCATCAATGCCTTCATCTTGCAGGAACTGCTCACACACTCCAGCCACATGAGGTCTAGCATTGTCGTGCATTAGGAAAAACTCAGGGCCAACCGCACCAGCATATGGTCTCACAAGGGGTCTGAGGATCTCATCTCAGTACCTAATGGCAGTCAGGCTACCTCTGGTAAGCACATGGAGGGCTGTATGGCCCCCTAAAGAAATGCCACCCCACACCATTACTGACCCACTGCCAAACCAGTCATACTGAAGGATGCTGCAGGCAGCAGAACATTCTCCACGGTGTCTCCAGACCCTGTCACGGCTGTCACATGTGCTCAGTGTGAACCTGCTTTCATCTGTGAAGAGCACAGGGCGGCAGTAGCAAATTTGCCAATCTTGGTGTTCTCTGGCAAATGCCAAATGTCCTGCACGGTGTTGGGCTGTAAGCAAAACCCTCACCTGTGGATGTCGGGCCCTCATACCACCCTCATGGAGTCTGTTTCTGACCATTTGAGCAGCCACATGCACATTTGTGGCCTGCTGGAGGTCATTTTGCAGGGCTCTGGCAGTGCTCCTCCTGTCCCTCCTTGCACAAAGGTGGAGGTAACGATCCTGATGCTGGGTTGTTGCCCTCCTACGGCCTCCTCCACGTCTCCTGATGTACTGGCCTGTCTCCTGGTAGCGCCTCCATGCACTGTACACTACGCTGACAGACACAGCAAACCTTGCCACAGCTCGCATTGATGTGCCATCCTGGATGAGCTGCACTACCTGAGCCACTTGTGTGGGTTGTAGACTCCGTCTCATGCTACCACTAGAGTGAAAGCACTACCAGCATTCAAAAGTGACCAAACCATCAGCCAGAAAGCATAGGAACTGAGAAGTGGTCTGTGGTCACCACCTGCAGAACCACTCCTTTATTGGGGATGTCTTGCTAACTGCCTATGCTTTCCACCTGTTGTCCATTCCACTTGCACAACAGCATGTGAAATTGATTGTCAATCAGTGTTGCTACCTAAGTGGACAGTTTGATTTCACAGAAGTGTGATTGACTTGGAGTTACAGTGTTGTTTAAGTGTTCCCTTTATTTTTTGAGCAGTGTACAAAGCACTTTTGGGTAGAAATCTTTGTGATGTATGCCAAAATTTCTGCATTACATTAGAATAAACAATTTACCCGAGATATGCACACTGCTGTTAGCTTAGCTCTTTTTTATAAGGAAAGTAATAGTTATGAGAAAAATGAAGTATACAAAGAGCTCCAGCTAACTCAGATGACGCTTCTAGAGACAGTATATCTGAACCATGCAGCTCAAGAAAAAAGGCATAGACTCAAACTACAAGCAGTATTCAATTGGGACTGGAACCGTGGTCATTGTGATCTAAAGTTGCTTTCTTGCTGGAAATTGACAAAAAAAAGAGAGAGAGCACTCGTGACCACAAGATGCTGTAACTGTAAATGCAACCCTGATGTCAAGTGCCCAGATTAAGATCAAATGACCATGAGGATAGTGCGATGGTCATATATACAAATACAGATGGTCTTAAGTCAAGGCCTACCGGTATAAACTGGAATGAAATTATTTTATTTTCTCTCTTTCCTGAACAGACAAAAATATTAAGAATTTATTGCTCACATCACAATTCATGGTGTCTTGACACAACGTAACTTAGGGTTTTGAAAACATGTGAGTGCGCTTGCAAAATGACCTAAAAGAGGGATCTGCCTATTCAAAAAATGTCTGTCAAAGCAATGTCATCATTGGCAAATCAGCAGAATATTGTCACTCCTAGCCTTCAATGCCCACTTGATACACACACTTTTTGGAAGAGTATCTTTCACAACAAAGGATTAGGCTAATTCTCACCATTTCGTTTTCTAAGGAAGTAAATGGGGCTATTATTAAAAAGAATAATGGTATATTATTTGGAAATAAGACATTTTCTCTTTTAATGATTTTTAAGTGTAACAAGTCAAGCAGTATATGGTGAGTTCAAAAAGGAGATACTCCTAGTTATACTGCGGTTCTAGGTGCCATATTGAGTCCAACTGAATCACAGATACTTTGAAAATATGATGTGTAACTGCTTCCCTCCCTCCCTCTTTTTCAAGTGATAGTTACATAGGCAAATCACGTCTCAACACACAATTGTCCATAAATATCCTGAAACATGGCTCTGCAATAGGTATGTAATATGCAAAATGCACCCCACATATGCTTACTTTAGTGTCCTCTGGCTCTACTAGGAGTTCTTGCTCAGCCTCATGCAGCTCCTCCGCAGGATCATAACTGTACATTGGCAGCAGGTGGTGGCGTAGTCGATCATATCTAGGAGGCAGATTTGTCAGAGTATAATCTAAAACTGTCTTCAAGCAATTAAAAGCTGCTACAACTTTTTTCTCATGATTCTGGCACTGGCTCAGGCAAGGTAGAGCTACATCATAAAGCAATGTCAGGGATGAACAACAATCATAATTTCAGTATAATAAAAATTTTAAAATCCTAAATAGTTTAGTGTTCAAATGTGCTAGATCACTGTATCTATTAGTCTCATGCACTAATAATTATTTTGAAGTAACTACGGTCCAAATTTCTGTACAACAAAATTCCAGAATTCCTAGGTATAATTTTCATTTGCCAAGTGAGCTGGGAATTCAGGGAATTGTAGATCCAATATATTCAGCAACACAAGGTTAGGTAAGCTTTGCATCGAATGTGTGTCTATATTTGTCAGAGGAAAACTTTGAAAGTTTTACCCATACTCCAAAGTATAATACAGATGGTTTAGCGTAAAAAAGAACAGTCCATATCATTACTGACAAACCACTTTGCACATTAAATGTTTATTTTGCACTCACCTAAAATTATATTTCTGTTGATGCTTATCCAGAACATTCTGATGTTTATCCACAATAGTGCAATGTTAATATAGGGATTATAATGAAATAACCATAATTGGATGGTTCTTCTAATTACAACCCATCTATCATAAACCCATGATTAATGAAAATGCATCCATGCAGCAACAATGTCTACCGTTTTAAATATGATCGAACTCCCCTTTCCCATCACAACTCAACACATAAGGTTGGATGCTAGCTAGAATGTTTAAAATAGGTATATCAGAAAATAATATTTGCCAAAGTGATAATTAATAATTATCCAAAATGGATCCTACAATACAACACGTTGAAAGAATATTATTTTTAATACAAGATTTAAAAAAGAGTTACTAGTCAACCTCATATCAAAATGTATCATTAACTTTTACTGTACTTCTCAGAAGCCATTTTTCAGGGCCATTTAATAAAAGAAAAAAGAGGAACATGTCATAGTTCAACCAACATATAAAAAGCAAAGTGCATTATTCCATTTTACATTATTTAATGAATTGATCTATCTGTTTACAGTAGAGTAAGTATGTAATCGACTGCAGTATTAAAAAAAAGAATCCCTTCTAATAAGAAGATAGATTTAAAAAGACAAAGAGCCCCAATCTCCTACTAGAATTTCTTACCTCCTTTTTTTCTGGATATACATCATCTGTAAAGACAAAGGGGAAAGAGAAAACAATTGAGAGGAATGTGAATATGCTTTAGACATTATTTCTTCCAACTGGGAATAAAAATAAAACAAGAAAGAAAAAGAATACAAGGAATATGAACATCAGTGTCAGCATTTGTGTCATTAGTCTAAGTGCAATTTTCACAAGCCACATAATGGTAACATAAGAGGAGCACCCAATTCATTTAAGATGTGACCTTAAGTGTCGAATGAAAAAGATACTGAAAGATGTAGCTCTAGGTAGATAAAATCTCACCAAAATCCCAACACCAATCTGGTACCTTCCAGGAATATCAGATTACAGCTACTTTACTTCCCTCAACTAGCCTAGCCTTTGATAATATTGACCCAAGAACAAAGAGAGCTGTAAGATACCACAGTAGGGATGACTATCTTTTCAGTGGAACAGATTAAAACAAAGTCCTATTTTGGCATCCCCTTTATGAAAGCTGTTGGCCATTAAGAAGCTACTTTCAGTTTCTGAGCATCTTGGGGCAATTACAAGTTGCAGGGGCCTGATTTTATGCAATAAAATGTTTGAGCTGTGGCTTTCAGATGCACTGAATATAAAAGTCAAGAGCAGAGCAGCTTTCATATAATCTAATTATATAAGGGTTGTGTTTGACCTCAGGTGGGGGGCGTGGCCAAGGGGCATGGCCAGCTCGACATCACTCGTGTCGGAGGTGCCTCTGGTGGCCCAAGCGCTCTGCCAGAGAAAATAAGCTCTTGAGCTCCATTTTTGGCTGTGATGGCCTTCTGCCACCCTCTGCCAGTGAAAACGGAGCTGATTATGGCCAAGGAGGAGGAGCTGCAGTGTTCAGTCCATACGCCCACCTTTCTAAAGGGACACTTCTCCCCCCACCTCACTTGCTCCCACATATTTCCACCCCGGTCTCACACTTCGCCATGTCAACTTGCTTATCTCCGCCCCGTTTCCTCTTCCTTCTCGCCCTTAAACATACACACAAACACGCACAGACCTCACAGCACCAGAGGGACTCGCCCATGCGCCGTCTCCTTGCAGAAGGTCCTGGAGAGCATTGCGAAATTCGGCAGGTGGGGAGAGAGACCTGCCCATCCAGGAAGGGTCTTGGTGGTGACCCAGCCCCTTCTTTGGCACCACAGAGCTCACAGGGCTCAGGTGGGTAACTTCTCTCCACCAGTGCTTTCCCGCCCCAGAATGCCAAGAGATTGTATCTTCTTGAGGACTTTGAGGCAAGCAGCCAGGAGGTGGGGCCGGGCATGGTGAGTGACATCAAGTTGGCCACGCGCATCCAGTCACGCCCATCCAACCACGCCTACCCAGCCAGTCATTAGGACAGAGAACCGGTTGTTAAATTATTTGAATCCCACCACCGAATAATGGCACTCACTAACTGAAAAGACTGCAACTGTTGCAACAGAAACTGTTGATTTAAGAATTGATATTGAGACTTTTTTGATATATTGATATTGAGACTCTTTTTTTTTCTTTTCAAAGAAAAACTTTCTATCATGTTCCATTGTTTGACATAAAAACTAGAGCAGCATTTCTCAACCTCACAACTTTTAAGATGTGTAATCTTCAACTCCCAGAATTCCCCACCCAGCATGCTGGTCTAGAAACCAAGTGCTTCTGTCTTGAGTCCACTCACCACTGCCATGACGATTCCAACAATGGTGATAAGGAAAAACGGCACTAGAATATAACCCACCAGGGAGTCACTGGTTGGCCCAGCAGAAGTGGGCATAGTGGTGTTATTCATGGCATAGAAAACTTGCTTGACAGGATCGGAGAAGCAGCTCCTGTCATCATTGGGAAGTCCACCTCACAATGATTAAAAAAAAAGTTTTAGGATTAAAACACATTCTTAATGTTGCCATAAGCCACTCTTCTTTCCTCCTCCCAAACCCACTGCCATTCAAATAACTGCACATAAGACAGTCACAAGCATATCACATGCTACCCCTCACACTAGAATCAATGAACGAAATCCTTTAAAATATTTAGCCCTGAGACATGAATGAAAGCTAAATGAAACTGAGAAAAAGGGTGAATGCGCAAGAAAAATAAACCATTCCAAGACAAAAAGAGAATGACAAGACAGAAAGTTAGAGTAATGGAAATAATGCTGGCATCTTGGTCTAAGCCAGTGTAACTGACATCTAATATCTTGCTTTCTATATATTTCCCATAATGGAGAAAAGCAAAACTCTGCAACCCCGACCCCACCCCCTACCCCTTCAGCACATTCTATTAGTAATACTTAATATAACAGCAAAATTTGTTCCATGCTAGGCCCACCTATAAAACCAAGTACAAAAACTTGTTTTGGTCTAAGGTTAATAAACCTGTGGCCCTCCAGATGTTGATGATCGAATTCCCAATAGACATGCCCTGAATGACCAATGGAACAATACTGGAGAATGGGGCAGAGTTGTGTGGTAAAGCACATAATTTGTTTGCAGAATATCCCAGAAACAATCCCATTATCTCCAGGTACAGATTTGTTTGGTAATCAGGTCTTAAAATATTGAATTAGTCTGTGGTTCATATCTTCATATTTTCAAGATACTCATAAATAATCTTATAGGAATATTGGATAACTTTTTTTTTTCAAATTCTGAACTGGGTGTACAGGTTTTCATTGTAAATGGAACTGAATACCATTTGTAAATGCAACTGAGATACAGGATACAGATATAATCTAGATTTATATTACTATGAGATGTAAGAAGCCAGGTTGGACAAGTTCCTTGTGGCCCCTTGCAATGGTATATGGGAATGACCTTGAGAAGAGATGTAGCCTAGGAAACTATCAGATAAAAGAGAGAGGGGCCTGCAAATGCTTAATGGACAAAGAAAGTTAAGGAGCTGCCCTAACATATCAGACTGTTGAAGGTTACAGCAGGAGATTTATGGTTGCTGTTCAGATTTGCAAGGTTCTGTTAATGTAGTCTGACAGTAACATAGCACTGGCTCATCTGGTCATGTTTTTGGTCTGGTTACCTGGAGGGCTGATACCAATTTTGCAAGTCTCAAAATAAAAATCTCTCCTGGTCATCACTTGTTATAGTCTTATACATTAGGGTGGATCCTTCTTAAATGTCTTATTAAACATTTGAGTAAGGTCCCTCAGATCTCAGGTTGGAGGCCAATCCAAAGAACTGGGGCAGCTACAAAGTTAAGAGATGGTCTCACAAATCTGGCACGGTGTCATTTAGAGTTTTAAAGGTGATAACCAGCATCTTTAACTACACCCAGAAAGAAACTAAGGGCTAGGGCAACTGATGCAACAGTAACGTAACTTGATAAACTGTGGGCCACCCAGAATTATAAATGCCACAGAGTCTCAGCCAACTGCAGCTTCTGAATATTCAAGGGCAGCCCCATGTATACAGCGCGGTAATCTAATCAGGAAGTGATTAAGGCATGACTGTGAGCAAGGCCTCCCAGTGGAACAATACTGGAGAATGGGGCAGAGTTGTGTGGTAAAGCCAGGAATGGCACACCAGCAAAGCCTCCCCACCCCCCACCCCCAAGCTATGGCTACTACCAGCTCTTCCAACAAGAGCTTCAAATATAGGAGGACCACCAAATTGCATACCAGTTCTGTCCAGGGGAATGTTACCCCATCCAGAGTCAAAGATGTCAGCTCTCGTTTCTCCCCATCTAGGCCCTTATAGCCTCCAGTCTCTGAGAAGGAAGTTAATTAAACAGCTTCACTTGCTCAGCATGAGGTAGAGATGCATAATTTGGTATTGTCAGCACACAGATAATACTAAACCCCAGATAAGGCTGAATTTATCTTGAGCTAACAGAATGTGAAGAAAGCACTACAGAAACAAATGAACACTCGATGCCTATGAGACTATCTGTTCCACAGCTATAATTCGATACTGGAGAATCATTCAAATAATTAAAAATGCTGGGAATTAAATGGAAGGATGTCATCTGTGATAAACACTTGTGGAAGAGAATCAACCTAATGCCCAGAAGACATTTCTTTAGATACTTTCTGTGTCAATTCCTAAAAACCCCAACCATAGCAAATGCCACATTCTGAGCACTTACAGATTTACACTTTCCTACTTCTTCTGAAAGCCACAACAATTCAGATTTGGTGGCAGAATGGAGATTTGAACTGGGCCCTCTTACTCTGTTCATTGTCTGCATCCTGGCCTTCCCAGATTTTCTGTGATCACAAGAAACAAATTTCCAGCAACCACATTCACTGATTAAGCAACAGCTATCAGGGCTAGGCCACAAACATCCGGATTATCACTACAGTGGATGAAAGCAAAGCGACACAGAAGATTCTGTCCTTTTACTGCCATCTAGTTACTGCCTCAACTTTTGCTGTCTGGATGTAGCAGTCTTATTAAATAATAACTGTATTATACATTTGGCAAACTACCCAGTCAGCCAAACCCAAGTCAGATTAATAATTTCTTAGGTAAGGCTACAATTGGCTTGGAGAGTTCCATGGTGCCCCATTAGTTCCATGGCAACTTTGACTTACGTCCACAATTGAGCCTCAAATTTCTGTTGCCAAGCAGGACAATTAAGTGAGTTTTGTCCCATTTTATGAACTTTCTTACCACAGCTGTTAAGTGAATTGCTGCAGTTAAGTTAGTAACACAGTTGTTAAGGGACTCTGGCTTTCCCATTGACTTTGAAGGTCACAAAATGGGATCACATGATCCGGGGACAAAATTGCCAAGCATCCAATTTTGATCATCTGAACACGGGGATGCTGCAACGATTATAAGTGTGAAAAATGGTCACAGGTCATTTTTTTTTTCAGAGCTGTTGTAACTTTGAACAATCACCAAACAAATGACTACCTCTACAGCAGACTCATGGTCATTACTTATGCATTAACTATTACTTTCATATAATGTATTTCATGTATACATTCATGTACATTATGGATTGCCTAATGTGTATTTCATATAAATATGCAGAGAGCCAGTTTAATCCAGTTATTAATGCACCAGGCTAGAAACAGGAGACTGAGTTCAACTCCCATCTTAGGCATGAAAGCCGGCTGGGTGATCTTGGGCCAATCACCCTCTCTCAGCTCAACTCATTTCACAGGATTGTTGTTGTAGAGAAAACAGGAGGGGGGAGGAGTATCAGATATGTTTAAAGGCTTGAGTTATTTATAAAATAATAAAGGCAGAATATATGTATATATGACACTGCATGGAATGTACCATCAACAGATAGCTGAGGTGGCAGACATTGGGAAATCCTACCAGTGGCTGGAAAAGGCTGGACTAAAAAACAGCACAGAGGCATAGCAGCACAAGAACAAGCAGTAAGCACCAGATCCATAGAAGCAAGAGTCTACCACACTAGACAGAACCCGAGGGGCATACTGTGCAGAGGCCTCAGAAACAGCCCAATACATAGTGGCAGGGTGTAAGATGCAGACAGGAACAGTATACACTGAGCAGGACAACCAAGAAGCTGACATTGTGTACAGAAACATCTGCAATGTATAGGCTAGACTCTCCCAAGTCCAGAGGGAAGATTCTTCAAAAGGTTATGGAAAATAACAAGGCCGTGGGACTTCCAGATCCAGACGGACAAGCTGATACTGGTCAATCAATAGACTTCACGGTAATAAGACAAGGAGCAGAAGGTGCAAGATGGTGATAGATGTAGTGGTGCCAAGTAAAAGCAACATCAGGAAGGAGGTGTATGACAAGCTAGAGAAGTACCAGAGCCTGAAGGCGGAATTAGAAAGTAAAGACCAAAGTGGTCTCAGCAGGGGTTTCAGCACTCAGGGCTGTGACCCCCTAAGCACCAACAAATCTCCCATGAACACCAGCAAAGCTCTATGTCCAGAAGAGTGCTGTGCTACAAACAACTAAAATACTGTGCAGAATTCACAAACTCCCAGGCCTCTGTAAGAGGCCTCTGTAAGAGTCCTGGGAGGGCTTTAGAAGGATTTTGGAAGATTTTGTACATATAGTTGCAGCTTGGTTAATGAATACAGCAATACATTATGATGAAAATAAAGAATATATGAAAATAGATAGCTTATGGTGTGGTATTGGTGAGGGTTAAGTAAGCAAGAGTATACATACATACATACTCTATCTATCTATCTATCTATCTATCTATCTATCTATCTATCTATCTATCTATCTATCT